CCCACTATTGAAAATTTTGCAAGCAAAAAATCATGCTCAAGTAGTTAAAATTCACCTCATATCACTTAATTTGCAACCGTAAGGGCACTACTACTTAATCATTGAGTACCCCCCCCCACCAACTCCTCCCGCCAAACTCTACCTTCACATTTCTCCCATCAGTCTCCCTCCACCTCACCTCCCATCCACACAATTTTGGGGGGTGGGGTGGAGATGTGTTATGTGTGGCTCTCTCAGACTGTAAAATACCTGTATTAAAGCAGAGTTCCCCATCTACTGTATATGATTGGCATCTTCCCCTGACAGGGGATCCAGGGTTCCCTGAGGGGCGGTACTGTTTCCCCAGGACACCTGCTGGTGCTGGCACTGCTTCTTTGGCCTATACAAACTAGAGATAAATTTTAGGTTCTTTATAAGGCTAGATACTAATGGATAGGTAGTGTAGTGTATGTATTAACTGAAGTACTCCAGACTGGCTTTCGCTCTTTCCATCTCATGCAAGAATGAATAAAACTGTGGAACTGTCAATTCTGTAAATAACGTAAAGAAGAAGAAGATAAAGTAGAGAAGATAAATAATTATAATAAAACTAATAGAAATAATAATAATAATAATAATAAATATTTCTTTTTTTGTGTATTTTTTAATAGGATTCCATTCCTGATGACGACATAATTAATGTTGAAATATTGAATCCCGACACGATGGCGTGCATTTTGATGCTTGGAGTATGTATTATATTATCTTAACTAGGTCAATTAAAATAAAATTATAAAGAATCTATGTCATCATTATACAAACACATGCCAAAAACCCCTATTAAGGGGACAATTTCATAATTTCATGTTTTTGTTTAGTGTCCCCGGAATAGAGGTACCCCTATAAAGGGGACACTTTTTTGGTCCAAAGGGTGCCTTTAATAGGGGTTCATCTTTAGTAGAAATAATGAGGTGAATTTCATAAATACAATACAGTAGTTACTGTATATATATATATATATACTGTCTCTTATACACATATAGATGTGTATAAGAGACAGGTTATACCTGTTAAGGGCGTTACTATTATGGATGATGTACACTCCAGTTTAGAACTGGGATCACCTACACCAAGTAAAGAAAAAGCTGTTTCAAACACGACCCCTTCGGAAAGTGAATTGAATACTAAAGTGGAAGCTCAAACAGACAACCCGACAGTGTACGCAAAGTGATACAACACTATCATATTATATACACAATGATTTTAATGCCATCAGTAATCAAATAACTTACCCATATAAACATTTTCTGTCTTATTTCCTTTGTTGACAACTAATTTCAACTACAATAAAAGTAAATATATTAGGTTAACATCTGAGTATGCTGCATGATGACAAATTAATGCTCAAGCGTTATATTAATATGAATATTATTACCATCCATATATTATATTTTCTAAGTCTAATCACATTAAAATCACAAATATAATGCAGGAATATAGAGAATGAAAAGTTGGGTGCATTTTTACAATTTACCTGTTGGATACATCAGACTATTTGTCTTATATAGTAGAGCACCTTTGTTTGAACAAGCATAAGACAAAGTTTATAAGCTTAAATTTACCTGCAAAAATGTATTGCCAACTTTTTTGAGTTCACTACTTGCTGCTGTCACTGAAAGATAATTTTTATTTATTAATAGGTTATTGTAAAACCTTGAATAAAAGATCTGGGCGGCTCCTCTTTTTTTGCAACCTTTAAATGGGCTGCCTTTTTAGGGGACCTTCTTTCTGAGGCTACTTTTGCAAAGTAAATAGTGGAGCTTCTTTTTAAAATGAATGCTGTAAATTTTGGAAATTACTACTTAAAAACAATAAACAGGGCCACTGTAACATCAGTCAGTATCATGGTGTGTATTGACCGGCATTAAATCACCGAAACTACGGTGTAAGCCATAATAAATTTATTTTGTTTGTTTGAAATTCATGTACAGTGTATGTATTGTACTATCTCGAAAAGAAGCCCATGCTAGAGTATATTTGGGATTTTTTTTAGGCTACTTTTGCAAACTAAAAAGAGGGGGGGCTTCAAATCGAGATGGGCTTCTTTTTTTAAAAAAGCTGATATGGTTTCTATTCAAAGTTTAACGGTATCCTATTCAATCAATATTTAACACAAAAATAATCAATTGTTCTATTGCCCAATTCCATATCAGATAACCTAAATATTTACACTTTCATTAGCCCCTTTCAGATAGACGTTGCCGCAATTAGCGTTGAGTATGCCGGCACAATAATCGCTCTATACCCTTTAAACACATAGCCTTTGTTATATCAATATTGAGGTAGTCTTACGCTTTTCTGTCTGAAAGGGTCCTATAGAACGGCGTAATACTGGAGGTTTAAATACCACAGCGCAAATTGTTTTCAAATTTAACCTTGTTTGTTTATAAATGCACACGCCGACTTGATTGTCGCAATATCAAGTAGACCCTTTCAGACAGAGCAAGCCAGTAACTGTTACCACAATATTGCAGCAATATTACTAGGGTGCAAGGTGGCCTGAATTAAGCCGCCATATTACTGTATCAACCCTTTCAGACAGAAACCCATGCCGGCGTGCTTACCACATTATTGCAGCTCTGTCTGAAAAGCGCTATGTAAAAACAGGCTCCCAGCGAGAACATGTGTCTATACCCCCGAGGGGGTATAGACACAAAAATAACATATTTACCACCAAATTTCCAATCCATATCAACCAGTTGGTTCACCATTAAAGTCTGTCCAACAGCTGTCTTGGACAAACCGACAATATTGTGATGCCACTAACAAAATTGAAAACAAATGAAAAGTATCAAAATGAGAACTATCTTTTTGTTATTGATAATATGATATTATTAATAATATTTACATACAACTGCTGGTTTCAAGGCACTGTCACTAAATATACATGTATTTATACATGTTTATTTTATTTTTATTTTATTTCAAACATCATCCAAAAGTTACAATGAAGGCAATTACAGGATGTATAAATACATATAAAAATATAAAAAATACTATAAAAGTGAATAATTAATTACAGCATGAACATTATTGAATTGGAAATTTTAAAAATATATTGTATAAACATTTAAAAAAGGATTGATCCATCTGAATCAACATAAATTAATCAAAAACACCACTATATAATATAAAAATATAATAATTTACCTGTTTTGAAAAATAAGCTGACTTATCCTCAGAAAGACCTTAAATAAAATTCAAAAGATAATTATGTAAAAACAAATTTTTAAACTTTATCAATTGTTATATATTAATATTGAATGAAAGTAAATGGGTATCTGTTAGGTTGCTGTTGCATTAAATCGATTGGTATTGTAATGGCAGCATAAACTGGGTAAAACCCAAGAAGGTGAAAAGCAGCATTTGTGGTAGTTTACCATGCATCGACCAGTGACTAGGTATAAATTCATTTATAAGGACAACTGCGCGACCGCCGTTGGAGGCAACACAGATGTGGAGGCACAATATTCTTTTTCCAGTCAACTTGCCTCCTAGCAAATTTGTCCCCACAAACTTACCTCCTTGAAAAACTTGCCCCTCCCCCCACACCTACAAACTCACCCCTCGGCCGTCCCATGGCAAAACAACGTATCTGGTTTATATTTTTAAGTTACGTTGTTTTACCTTTCAATGGCTGCTCTAACAACTTGCTTAGGGGCAAGTTTGTCATTGTCAAGGGGGAGAGAATGCAAGGGCGTACCGTGGGGGGGGGTCGATGGGTGCGGTCGACCCCCCCTTTTTAAAGAAAGTGCCCTTTAAATATGATTTTAAAAAAAATCTAGCATAATTAAACTGTGCCTAAAATAATGCACTAGAACGTAAAAACGTAATTTTTTTCCCCTTTTACGGCCCCCCTAGCCCCAGCCTAGTGGCTCGCTTCACTCACAAATAACACACCCCACGAATTCTGAAAGCTTCACTAAATTGCTCCGAGTTCAGCTTGCCCCCTGCGCTTTCGTTTTGACCTCCCCTTAGATTTTTCACCGTACGCCCCTGCAATGTAGGGGAAAGATTGCTAGGAGGGGATGGGGCTCCCAGTTGAATGGATGATGGAATGCATTTGTAAGTTAAGTCTTGACTGATTTAGATGTAATGATTCTAAAAATATTGACTACTACCCATACAATGTAGTAGTCTATTTCTTCAGATAACTTCACAAAAATGTGTATTTACCCAAATGTAACAGGTCTTCCTGTAGCTGGGCAGATGTCATGTTACGCTTGACTGCACCTTTAAATAAATATATAAAGTTAGAGGTTAGAGCGTTACATTTTAGTTACCATTTGAAGTTTTATTATTATTTGTTTTGCACAAATATATGATGGTATTTTATGCAGAATTTCATTACTATATATATATATATATATATATATATATATTTATTATTTTTTTTTTATTGTAAATTTCTTTACAACCAAAAGCAATATTACCAGATGGAAGTTTGCTTGATAAACAAATCTCTCTTTGAATGGAGCTGAGTAAATGGAGCAGTTTTAGATACACAGTAGGTAGCAAGAGTACATAGGGGGATATAAATATTTGGTGGGCTAAGTTGTCCGACACTGGGTCTGACAAAGGCTGTTCTAAGACGTTTGAGAATGTATTACTGCATGTCCAACATTTTTTTTCTGATTAAATTTATTATTTTACTTGCACATACTCTATGCTGTGGTAGTGCAATTTTTCTGTGAAATGGAATGTGTTAAGGTTTAATTTAGTTCATTTGACAGGCATCCCAAGTACAGTGTGAATGTAGTTTTATCAAGAAGTTGGTAATTCGTCCTACATTTTGATCGATGACCAATGTGGCTGATAGCACCTTCTCCGAATGGACTATTTTTTACCTAGTTTCTGGAGTCTACACACGCTCCTATCAGAAGAAGCCTAATTTTCTTGTTTTAAATCAACAAATCATTGTGGTACACAAACTACATTAAAACTTACTATATGGGATTGTAAGGATGCTTTTGATGACATTTTTTAGGCCAGTAGCATTCACTCCCTGTTCTTCAGCAAATTCTTCCAATTGACCTAAAAACCTACTTGACTATTAAATAAATTAAATTTGATTATTTGATTATCATTCTCATCCATATTTATACACATTTCCTTTATTTTGTAATATACTGTAGAAAATAAAACTTCAGAAATATAAGACATTTTCTTTTTATATTTAATAAATTGCAATTCAGCTTTTTGCTATAATTTGGGAATAAAAATTAAAAGGACATACAGCAAAACTAAAAGCATACAATTTTTGTTTGTTTTTTTCTTAAATGATGCGATAAAAGAAGCCTTGATGTTTTCCACACAGTCTAAAGCTAATTTCATGGCTTGCTTTCCACCAACCCTTATTAACCCACTCTTCCATCCTTAAAATCCACTTGTATTATCTATACCATTTACCATTGTTATCACGCACACACCCTCAAAATATCTATCTCCACCCTTTGTTTACATTAGCTACAACCCTGGACTATAAAACAAAATAGTGGTGTAGACCATTTACCTTACTTGGTTCAAGCAGAAATGCAAACACTATTGAGATGAGTTGAGAAAATTGCTGAAATAAATTAAAATAATAACTCATGGCTTAAAAAATTGGGTGAGGTGGTGCAATGATTCAATTAAAATTTTATTGAGTTCATCATTCACTAATCAGCAGCATCCACCACTTTGAAGGTGCAGTGCTCAAGAATAATGGCTCACCGTAGTATAAAGTATTAATAATTAAGTTGTGTTTGATGGGAGCGGTACCAGAAACATCTAAATTACAACTTCAAGGCAGAGTCCTGGACACCAGCAGGACGTAAGCTTCAGTCTAGCCTAGCTAAGCGCCAGGACTAGGCAATTACATTTAATTAATTTTGCTCCATTTTTTCTGCTCTGCTACTAGGCCTAAATTTACATTGAACATTCTGTAATTAGGGCCTAGGTCCCTAGCTAGGCGACCTAGAATATAGGCCTAAGCTAGGCTTCATGCTCTTTCTTTCTTTAGTTTCATTACGTCTCGTGATCACAATCGTTAGGCTAGTCCATTTTTTTTTAGCCAGGCTCGCCAGCCAGCCCAGGCCCCAAGAGGCCCTAATCCTACTAAACAAGGCTAGCCTAGCCTAGGCGCCAGCTAGGCAACGCTTAGCCTATGCCTATATGTTATTAGCCTAGCTAGGCTTGGTATTTTTTATTCTACTAACAAAAAAAAAGAAATAAAGCATAATGTAGGAGCCTACTTCGTCTCCAAACTTGTTAAATGTTTGAATATCTGAAAACATTGAGTCGGGAGGCGTTTCCGCCGAAAAGTGGAAGGAAGTCGCCATTATTCTGTTGGTTGTTGACATCTTCTAGTCTTTATCCAGACTTTTAATTTGTGAAACTCACAAAAAGATTATAGAATGACTTTGGAAAAGTATAAGAAAGGCTATTATTATTTAGTGCTGCATGGTGGCGTGTATTCAAGGTCAATTAAATTGGGCCGATCGATCACAAGTTTAAAGTTTCTGTTCTATTTGTAAAGGTCGTGTTGGCCATCCCAGCTACTTTAGGTGTGAACTTATAAATAAGAGCCTGGTTTAGGCTAGCTGTCGTCGGCATCATCATCGCTTATTGTGTTAAAATTGTTCTAAATTATAAGAAAGTTGCTAAAGTGAGTTGCATCCGACACAACCATCTTCCACGATGTCTGATTCCGTAAGTAAATAAAGGAAAGAAGTAGCCTAGCTTATTATGCGCCACCGACTAGCTAGGCCTAGGCCTAGATCATTATTTTGAGAATTTTGCCGGTCTGTGTTTAGGGAGGCTAGGCCTATATATTAATAACTGACACTTTTAATTTTATTACGCAAAGTATAGTATAGCCTAGCGGACCGGGTAGGCCTGGTTGGCCTATTGTCATATTGAAGATAGTTGATTGATTTTAATGCATTTAATGCATCAAAATGGCACTGCATGTTGTTGGAACATCAATACTGTAAATATGCCTACTCGGCTTCCTTCTTCTTGGAACCAGGCCAGTAGGAAACTATACATAGGGCCTACTACATACAATACGACTATGATTGGTTATAACTAGCCAGGTAGGGGATCGGTGCAAAATAATTTTAGCCAAGCTAGAGTAGATTTGTACTTAATTGTAATCTTGGTCCATACCCCACCCCACTGCACACCTCCCGCTCCCCCACTCTTTTTCCCCACTTCGCTTTCCACTCTACTGCTCCCCACACAGATATATATTGTGTCCATGATATGTGCCAATGTGTATTTGGAACTCTCCTGGGCCGGTGTTGTAATTGGACTGGAAAAGGCCGGGATCGATATTTCAACATGAGTTTCTTCAACATCAGGGATTCGGGTACTTGCTGCCAGGGATTGGTAATGTGATTGACCTCATTGCCGACTGGTGTTACATTTCCGAAAGCTGCATTCCCAGTTTAATCTGTGCTAGGCCCAGGTCCGGGGAGGAGAGGAGCAGGACTAAAATTTTCTTTGACAAAAACTGTTGCATGCCCATATATAGTCATGATGTGGCTATATATGGTCATGATGTGATGACAACAATCATCCCCCTCCTTTTTGTCAGGCCTGCATCTATTTCTAGGAGGCCACTATCACGATTGCCGCCTCTGAGCACCCGTTCGTCTGTGGCAGGGCAAAATGTGTTTCCCGTTCCTTTGTTCGAGCCAGAGGTTCGGGAACGCGACAGAGTAGCGATGGATGGATGACCCTCTAAGATCTTGCACTTTTGCCTGTTCTCTGTAGTTAAGTTGATAATTATTGTATATTGAAGTACTTTTTAAACAGAAATAAAAAAAAAAAATAAATAAATAAATAAAAAGAAAATTTATATTAAATGAAATAACCTTATAATAAATGAAATGCAGAAAAGACTGTTTATCTTTGAAAGTGGAAATGGCGCCGCGAGCAGCTTTCTGAGATGGATTCTTGCGCCTTATAAGATACCATTATTATCTGTCTCTTATACACATCTAGATGTGTATAAGAGACAGCATTTGAAATGTGATTGGTTGATTGAAGTGCCAGACTTGTTAATGGCCAATAGGAAATTTGTCTACAGTTTCCCCTTATTTATTTCATTATTAATTAAAGAATTGTTGATTAGTTGCAATATACTATCAAAAAAAATTGGTGGATTATAGTATTAACTTTTTAATCAATTGTAATCTTCATATTAATTTGACTGGGATCAAGCTAGGTTGACTAGACCTTAAATTGTGATGAGTACGATAGTTATGGGATGTAATCAAGAAATGGAATGACTCAGCTACAAAAAATTATCAATTTAAGAGTTTCCTAAAATGAACAATGGCAGAACTATGAGAAATGACATGGTGGGGAATGGGCTGCTGCGTCAGGAGGGCACGGGAATAACATGTGGGTTTAAGGGGGAGCTAGTTGGGAATAATGTAATTTTTTTAATTATTAAATTCATAAAGTTGGAGAATGACTTTTCTCAGGGTGCATTAATTTCCTCTTAGTCATGATGTGGCTATATATGGTCATGATGTGATGACAACAATCATCCCCCTCCTTTTTGTCAGGCCTGCATCTATTTCTAGGAGGCCACTATCACGATTGCCGCCTCTGAGCACCCGTTCGTCTGTGGCAGGGCAAAATGTGTTTCCCGTTCCTTTGTTCGAGCCAGAGGTTCGGGAACGCGACAGAGTGGCGATGGATGGATGACCCTCTAAGATCTTGCACTTTTGCCTGTTCTCTGTAGTTAAGTTGATAATTATTGTATATTGAAGTACTTTTTAAACAGAAATAAAAAAAAAAAATAAATAAATAAATAAAAAGAAAATTTATATTAAATGAAATAACCTTATAATAAATGAAATGCAGAAAAGACTGTTTATCTTTGAAAGTGGAAATGGCGCCGCGAGCAGCTTTCTGAGATGGATTCTTGCGCCTTATAAGATACCATTATTATTATTATTTTATTATTATTATTTATTATTATTATAATATTATTGTCATCACATGTCGTCATGTCGTCGCTCACATCACAAACTAACACAATTAAATTCAATTGTGTTAGTTAGTGAAATCAAAAACGCGTCAAAACACGCGCTGCTGTCGTTAAGGACTTTTTGTGTGGTAAAGAATACAAAATTGCTTGACAACCAATACGCGCTCGTTTTGACGCACTACTGTGATTTCACGAACTAACACAATCTACTTAGATTGTGTTAGTTCGTGATGTGAGCGACAATGTTTTTGTCAAATAAAATTTAATAGTCAGGACAGGGAATTATGGAAGAAGTTATGAAATTATACCAAAAAAGGAGCTTTCGATTCCATGACGACGGTAGGACGTACAGTAGAACATAATGATATCGTTAAAAGTCATGCGCATGCAAGGACACTAAGTTCACCTCGTCGCATGGATTCTGGGATGCAATATGGCCAAATCTATGCATGCAGAGAACGTAGGACGCCCGGTAGGACGGTCACGCATGGGTGATTCCGTTCTAGTGTCGCGTCGTCAAGCAAATCGAAAGCTCAGTAATACTCTAAGTGACGGATAACTTCTAATGATTGCAGGAAGAGAGGACTGAACGGCAAGAAGATATCAGTGAGGTCAATGGCGACGAAGAAGAAGTGCAATCAAAACCCTTTCAGCCATGGTATTCTGTGCAGATAAAGAACGCCAGTAAAAATGGTGATATTGTTATGTTTGATGTCACAACAACAAAGGTATTGCGTAATATTTATTATTTGTTTATTTAATAGATTTGTATAGTGCACATTTCAGAACAACTGAGCAGTGCGTTTTCATCTCTTCATTGGATACAGAATACACTCTTATACCGTATTCAGACTAGACTTTGCATTGCGACCGGTTGCGATGTAATCAGTTGTAATCCAAATTGTTTGCAACCATTCGCAAACTTAACAGCATTCAGACACCTTTTTACTTTGATGCTTTACATCACTAGCAAAGATATAGGTCGTCCTGTTTTGTTTGACCTCAGCCAATTAGTGCCTGTGGAATCCGTTGCGATCGAATTCTGTGGTAATCGGGAGTAATAAACTTGTAGCACCCAATCGCAACAGGTAACAATTTTGCGAAATCTATTACATATCGACTACGATTGGTGAGCTTTCAGACACGATTTTACTTTGCGATTGAGTGTCACCGTTGCTACAACCGATCGCAGTGCGAAGCTAGTCTGAATGGGGTATTACATAACATGCAACATTGTTTGCTTCCTGGAGAGTATTCAGATTTGTCATGTAATTCAGAACTATCAATTTCATTCCAAATCATTTATCTCCTGCCAGTTACCCCTAAGTGAAGAGAGGCAAACGCAGAATGCGTCTTGCCCGATGACACAAGCTGTGTAACAATTGTGGCTTTTCAAACCCACAATTCATGATTGGAGGTCCAGAGCCTTAACTGATTTAACCACATGGTTTCCACATCCTACTTTACACCCAATTTCAGGTACCAGCCTTTCCTCAGGCGAAGGCCATAGATAGGGTATAATTTGAATGAGTAGGTTTATTTAGCTGACTTTTTATATCTATTTTAATTAATTCTTTCATGTATAAATCAAGAAAGACCAAACAAACAGCTCTCAGGCTGTAATTTTTGGTTTACAATGACAATATTAAAATATTATAAAATAATAATAATAATAATAATAATAATAATAATAATAATAATAATAATAATAATAATAATAATAATAATAATAATAATAAAAAAACATTACTTTAAAAATATCAAGTATTGGCTTGAATATTGGCATGCAGTGATTAAAAAGATTTTTCTTTGATTGAGATGGGTATTTGTCTGGTACACCCAAAATTGGCCCACATTTTGTGTTCAAGTGTGGTGGGCTTTGCTAGAGGAACTACAGTATGTTTCAATTTGAATGAGAGTGGGGTTACTATATTCATTTCAGGAAAAAAAAATCTGATATCTTTCAGGATTTGAATCCATAAACCCTAGAGTATGGCACCTTCTTGCAGACGCTAATAATACTTGACCTTTGTGTGTTGGACTATAATGCCAGAGGAGCTACTGTTATGTTTTAATTTTAGAGTGGCGTTATATTTTATTTCGGAAAGAAATTCTGATTTCTCTCAGGATTTAAACCTATGACCCCAGAATTGGGTGCCTTCTTACAGATACTATATAATACTTGACCTTTGTGTGGTGGGCTTATGCCAGAGATACTATGTACTGTTATGTTTCAATTTTAGGATTTTAGGAACTCTCAGGATTTAAACCAATGACCATAGAATAGAGTGCCCTCTTACAGATACTAATAATACTTGACCTTTCAATTGTAAACCCATGCTTGCATTTACTTTATAAACTTTACATTGATAGCAATATAAACCTTTTATACTATTTATATTGTTTATGGTATTTACATTGATTTATTGCTTTTTGATAGCTTGAACAGTGCAAAGAGGAAGTCGAAGTCGAACGACAGTATGAGGATTTTGAGTGGTTAGAGCACTGTCTCAGCATACAGCAAGATGTAAAAGGAGTTATTGTAAGTGAAGCACAAAAATACATTTATCAACTACACGCTTGTAGCGCATACATTGTCTTAGCATACAGCAAGATGTAAAAGGAGTTATTGTAAGTGAAGCACATAAATACATTTATCAACTACACACTTGTAGCGCATACATTGTCTTAGCATACAGCAAGATGTAAAAGGAGTTATTGTAAGTGAAGCACATAAATACATTTATCAACTACACACTTGTAGCGCATACTTTGTCTCAGCATACAGCAAGATGTAAAAGGAATTATTTTGAGTGAAGTACATATATTCGTACACACATTGCCTCAGCCTACAACAAAACGTAATTTAAAAAAATGATGTAAGTGAAGAACATAGTAATTACATATTCATCCAACTAACTCACAAAGTACACACATTGCCAGTCCATTCCACACAAGAAATTAAATCATTGCAATCAATTAAACCAGCATAAAAATAACAGATATTGAAAAACTTAATTCAAATACAATACATCAAAAGATGTAATAATTAGGTAACATACAAGAAAAGATACCAAAAACAACAAGAAAATATTTATTATAGCAGAATGCCCATCAAGATTTAAGGAAAAAATTTTACATCAAAAAATTGTATTTAATTATTTTGTTTACATGGATTTCAATTTGAGTTTTTTTTTTTTTATCAAATTATCAATTATTTAAAAATATAGGTCAATATGAAATAAGTACCTGTAAGCAATGAGGCATAAGAAAAAACATCAAAAGATAAAAGTTCTTATTGCAATTATTAAAAAAAATAAAATAAAATATATGAAGTACACATACCCTAATGCTTCCCAAGACATACTCATAGCACATTTTAATTGATTATTAATTCTTTGGTAAATTTTTAATGTCTCTAAATTGACACTGATACGAAGAGAGATTGGAATTATAGAAAAGAATCAATTTTTTATAGTGACTCATGAAATGTATTATACCATAGAAATACCATATCAGATGTATTTCACTTTGAAAATAATAAAACTCAAAATTTTCTTTTGATAAAAAGAAATTAGAATGATACATCATTGAAATATATCAAGACTGACTAAGTGTATATAAGATATATATTTATTTATATATTTATATTATAATTATTATGTCAGTTTCCACCATTACCTGATCGACCAATCGTTTCTGCTGCTGAGGCTGAAGCCAGATCGAAAAAGCAACTTGGAACACAGAGTAAAAATATGAAAGGTAAATCACAAATGAATATCATTCCTAATTTTAAACTCTCTCCCCATTTCAAGATTTCTAGATATGCTACTGTATATCTCATTTGAATTGGATTTTTTTTTTCATTTATGAGACGAAATCATGTCATATTACTGATTTATTGGAAATCTCTGAGAATGGTGTTGTTGCACAAATTCTTAATTTGGCCGTTCCTTCAGCGCTTTGTGTGAATACTTGGTTGATACAACACCAGCTTGTTGACTGCCAGTGGCAATCTGAGCATATAATCATCAAAGACCTGCTGCGCGACACGTCGCATCACAGTTTCATAAAATTGCAGGTTTATGAAATTGCCTCAGCTGTAGCTTAATCACTTTCAACCATACCATTATTTATGTTTATGTGTGTACCATTAGTAGTGGCAGTTTGGCGCAGTGGTTGTGGTTTGGGCTTTCAATCGTAAGGTTGGGGTTTCGAGTCTCCGCTGTGCAGATTCGCTTGTGTCCTTAAGCAAGGTACTTTAGCTACATTGCTTCAGCCCACCCAGCTGTATCAATGGGTACCAGCAAACTGCTGGGGACTAACCTGCGATGGACTAGTGTCCCGTCCAGGGGGAGTACAACTCTCATCCGCTTCACACTACAGAAACTCAGGATAGGCTCCAGCACTATGAGCCCCAGTGGCTCGGAAAGAATTTAGTTTTTATAGTGTACCATCAGTCAGCCAAATAATTTTCACTGACTTGTAAAAGTGATTGTCATCCCAAAACAGCATCAGTAAACAGAAAATAAGTTTTCAAAATGATGAGTCTTTTTACTGGAATCAACTTTCTATTGCCAAAGTTATGTGTAATTATGGCTTATACTAAAGTATACAATAGTGCCACATCCTTTTGCTAATTTCTCAGTTTAAAATATGGCAACAGTACGCTGGATTTTGGGATTTCAAGTCCTTAATTATATGGTGGCTACTGACTGTATGATCATTGAGCGCATACGCTATATGTGGATAATCCACTAAGTATCATGCAAATATTACAAAATAATGTACTTTAAAAATGAAGCGGTTTAGCACAGCGGTTTGTGGTTCTGCTTCCCAATTTTGAGGTCGGGGGTTCAATCCCATCACTGTGTTTTTTGTTTGTGTCCCTGGGCAAGGCAATTTGCCTACTTTATTCTCTGTCCACCCAAGAGCACCTGGTAGGTTCAAACACAAAATGCACTGATTACTGCTACAACGTTTATATGGATTAGTTCCCAAGGAGCTGAGTATGTGTTTCTTATGTGCTTGATTTAGTGACCTGAGTAATAATGTTGAAGCGCCTTGAGGCCTTGTTGTCATAATGCGCTATATAAGCCTAACTTTATTATTATTATTAATTATTATTATTATCCAAATATGTACAGTTAAAATTTATAAAGCATATGTTAAAAATATTTATTACTATCAACATAAAGGTGATGAGTTCCACAAAGATTGTCGTAAACTGGAGAAATATTTACAAGCTGTTGTGAAGCATGAAGCTTTTGGAAAGAATGAAGCCTTAATGCATTTCCTTACAAAAAAAGAGGTAAGAACTGAACAAAAAGTTTTAGCAAATAAACTATATATTATTACATTGTTTTTAAAAAAGGATTACTAATAATAATTAATAAATACTTAAGTACAGGTCTCCCTCTAGGTATAGACGTCTTTCTGGACCACAGTTTCGCTGGTCTCTAATTATAATAATGAAGATAAAAGACAATTGTTTTTATGGAACCACAGGAAAGTGGTCTTTAATTGAAGGCGGTTTTTAATTGGAAGTGTCTTTTAGAGGGTTGACCTGTATATAGTTATTGGAATTGAAGCATTGGATTTTATTTAGTGTAAACACCAAGCCCACAAAAGTCTGAAGAAGACTTATTTCCTGTGGGTCCTTACTGGTGGTGATTGGGCAGTACACCGGGAGACAATCCCCTACACTTTTCCAAAGAGTGTACTGCGTTCTTTAACGTGCACATGGGACATAATGCACACAGGACCAACGGCTTAAACGTCTCATCTGAAAGACAGTGCGATATCGCAACTTGCATTTCAGCCCTGCAGCTGAAATACAAGGAGAGCAGCAATGTAAATTGAACCGGGGACCTAGAGATCTCCACGGTTCAGCGCACACACAGTGGCTACCACCAGTTTAGCCGACTGGAGCTACAGGTATATAATTTCATTGTTATCATGCAGGTTGATTACTGACATTTTTTTGCTATCACCCCATATATTCACGATATGATTATTAAAATTCATAACACCTTTGAATTAAATGAAAATAGCTCACAAAAACATAAGATGGATAGGAGTAAAGTTGAATAGCCTATAGGTTAAGATGCTTGCTTTCTATTCCCATGATCTTGTGATAGCAGGACTTTTCCCTCACTACTAAAGGCAACTGCATTCTCTAATGCTCATAAAGAAACTTTGTTAAAAGCATTGTCCATTTTGTATTTGGCAAGTTACGTGCTGTTGTATGTGAATGAAATAAAAACAATATATTTATAAAAATTTTACAAAAAAAAAAATATAATCTGATGAATCCTAAACTCACAAAATATCAATGTCATTACACTGGTTTATTTTTTCATTTTATGTTTTATGCATAATTTTCATTTTATCTGCATATCTTTTGTTGGCTTGCAGCCTCCAGTTCGTGCCAAATTGAAAAAAGGAATTTTATCGAATTTATCAAGAGCTGTAGATGGTGTGCGGAAGGGGGGGCACAAGGATGTCGATGAAACGTTCCAGAAAGAACGTGAACTGGCAAACGACATGCTGAAAATTACAAAAGAGTCTAGCGTTACTTTTGATGTCATGGTCAACAATACGTGTCGTAAGTAACAAATTTATTTTTTCGTGAAATAAAAAATCTGCACGTAAGCACACCCCTTAAATTTTTTTAAAGTGCAAAATTCTTTCTCCAGATTATATATATATACTGTCTCTTATACACATCTAGATGTCCATAAGGCAAAAGTAGTGTCGCTAAGGGGAAACTAAAGCGACGTTAAGGGGAAATCATAGACAAAAGAATTTCCCCTTAAGAGCCGAATAAAGGTAGTATTTTTTAATTTATTATATATATAACCCAACCAAATACAGGAGAACCTCTCCTTTGGTACACCCCTATAAAGGGACAATTTTTCAGCCATGAACGGGAAGCATATCTTTTAACCTACTGTATAGCCAATCCCTATTTAGTTGACGTTTTTTTGGTCCTGAGCATGTCCCCTTAATAGGGGTTTACAGAAGTATGAAAGATTTGAAATGAATGGGTCTCCAATATTCAGATTGTAAAGTTACTCGAACCAGATAAGAAATTGATTACTTTTAAATTTAGCATCAATGTGCTACTTATAGAGCACTTTGTGAGGCCTAGCCCTAAAACTGGACTCTGTTAGATTTTATTCTTTACTCCATGGTAGGCCAAGGCTAGATCAATCTGGATTCAAATATTGTGTGTATCCCCAAATATAATAATGTTATCGAGTAAACATTTTGAAATATTTTTTTCAGAATGAAGCATTTGTTTAGTATTGTTTTTTTTTGTTTTTTTTAGGAATCTCGGCAGCATATAATCATTTGTCAACTGCATTGTGTCTTGGAATGAGCGCTGAAGATAATGGAGCTTCAGCCGTCATCAATAAGTAAATGAAAATATAGACTAACAAATATAATCTAACAAAACACCATATTCAGGTGAATTCTCCAGTGAAGTGGTTAGTTAGGACTAGCATTTGTAAGCAAGTTTCAATAGTATAATAGCAGCTTTAAAAGCAAAGTTTGTTTTTTTTTGCACTGTATACCAGGAACTGTACTATTATTTGGCAAGTTTGAACCAATTGCTACCATTCATTATTGAGTGCTATGTCGCTACATCATGGTAGCATTTGGCACTACTTCATTAACAAGCAGAGTTGATTGGGCGAGTTGATTGGCCGAGCGGTTAAGTCAGGGGCACCGTAAACTTAAGCTGTAATATCGGCGCTGGTTCAACCGGCTCTCTCGCCAATCATTCCGGAGGTGGAACAATTCTTCTCGGATAAGGACTTTAAACCGTAGGCCCAGTGTACGCATTTGTCTCGTGTGCACTTTAAAGAACCCAATACATCCTTCGAGAAGAGTAGTGGTTACCCTGGTGTACTGGTCCATTCATTCAATCCCCTGTCGTTTAATGGATATGCCACGTAGGATACTGATTAAGTTCACTGATTGGCATATCCTTGCCACTTGTGCCTAAATAAATGAAATGAAAGCAGCTATTCTGAAGCATTACTATAGCTGAATGCTACCACACAGCAAAGTGATGCCACAGCTAAGACAAAGTTTCAATAGATTTTTCAACTGATGTACCTAAACCTAATTATTTGTAATAAAAAAAAAAAACAAAAAGAAAGCTCACCATAGTATTATATAAGAGAAATGACAGCAGCACCTTTAAGACTTAACTCGCATAAAATTTATTCTCTAGCTTTCGTCGATACATGTGGACTTCATCAGGAGATTGTGAAGACCATAATATTAGTTATACAATTTAAATTTAAATAGATTTCATAATTAAAGATAAACAGTTGAAAAAGCTGCGTGGTTTAGCTGTGAAAGATAAGCCTATCAACCACTAGGATAGCATTTCTTCGTGATAAAAGAGTGGCATGTGGTGTTATGATGTCAATGTAATACTCTATTGCAAAAATGATTACCTCTTTTTTTCCACTAATTGTTTGTCACTCACAAATAAATGTTTTTAATTCTATGTTGACATCATGTGAGTAATATTAATCCAATTTAGATCTCCTCATTAAATATCTCTTATATTATTATTTACTAATTCCACTAATTTCTATGATGATTCATTCTTTGGTTTTAGCATAATCTTGCTAACAGACTGACAGACAGACAGAAAGACAAGGGTTGAATACAAAAACCCACATGGCAGATGTGATAATCATACACTAATGATGTTAATTAATTTTTGTTTAAATATTATTTTACAGACTGCAGGCTGAATTTGCGAAGTCAATAGACCACTATGCCCACGGGGTGGATGTGTTCTCTACAAATGACGACAACACGTTAGGTTTCACTTTAGAGTACTACTCAAGGTATTGGGATTCTACCAAGGTAAATATCAAAGGCCATTCTAACTGTTTTGAGAACAGTAACAACTCTGACGTGCAATTTTCCGCACTTTTTTTTTTTGTTTGATGTGAGGTTAATTGGTTTAAAAGGGGGGGGGGGGGGTGTGTGTATACAGAGGTGCTTGTCACCTGTTCATCACTCCCTTTTCGCTGCTTTTTCTGTCTTGTTATTGTGTTACTTTTGCTCGTTGTGTGTGCAGTGGAGAAGCTTAACAAATGAAAAATAAATAAAATGCTCGTCACCACTGCTAGAAAATCTATCAATCAATCATTCCATTTATATAGTGCCATTCTAACAGTCGTTGTTCATGGTGCCATTCCAAAAAAAAAAAAAAGAGTTTGAGCAACTGAATGATTTTCAATTGGCCTATTTTTCAATTTGAAGTTTTTGTGGTGACAATTTATTCCAGTCCACTCTGTATTGTTATTTATATATAAGTATGTTTAGTATGGACCATCAGTCTGAAATAAAGTATAAAGAAAAAAAAGTATGTCTTGAGACAGTAGTGACTTTAAACTGTGAATTTAAGGTGATTAATTGTTTAATGTTCAGAGGCAGTTTATTCCAGGCCCATGGTCTGGCTGTGCTGCAAGCCTGATCTTTCCCAGTTATGTTTACTCCTACAGTATATATAACCTATCCTTGCTGAGTATTGTATGAAATATTGTATACTCTTAGTGAGCTATGGACACACGTTTACTCTTTATGTTTTAATACTTTTCAAATATAGATATTCAGCCATACTTGGGAGATTGTATGAGTTTGATTATTAAGAGTTTGCAATAAAATATAGAAGACCCGAGTTTTAATTACTTTAGTCAAACTCAAATAATTTTTTAAATAGTGTTTTTGTGTTAGCTGTAATGAAAGTAGTGATAATTTATTAATGATTATGTAAATTTATTCAAATTTTTCTTTTCTGATGTTTTTTATGTTATGAAAATTATGTCATTTTACATTTCTAATCCTGTGGATTCTACTCCTTTTCAGGAAATGTTGTTTCGAAGGACATGTGCCTTAGTCCAGTATGAAAACTGCTCAAAAACTTTAGAGAAAGCAAAACCACAGAAAAAAGCAATGGTATGTTGATGAAAGTACCTGTACTAAAATCTATGTAAAATAACAACCTGGAACACCAACAGCATCTTTAGGCACTGGAAAAAAAAATAAAGCACAAAATACTTTTAAGTTTGATGTGCTTTTATAATTAAAATAACATTAAAATGTCATTAACATTTAAAAAATAATGTTAAAAGTTATTAAAATGACTAAAACTGTGTATAATTACTTGGGGTTCATACTAAACTATTAATGTTTTTTTGTTTTATATTTTAACACATCCAAAAAAAATAAACTGAAGTCTCGTGTATTCAAGCTTTATAAAGCTAAAATTATAATCTCATAAAGCCACAAATAGATGTTTGCTCACATAGGCCCTTGCTAGGGCACCACCAAATTACTTGCAGGTGAAACAGTCAAAATACACTACAGTATTCTGAAATGGTATGAGGCTGAACATAATTCTGCCAAATTATTAACCAGAACATGAAATCAAAACATCTGTGAAATATATCCTAATTGAGCTGTTAAGCCCTGTCAAGTCAATCGATCTATTGCAGTGGCTGTGCTATGTGGGGTGTTTTCTACATAATAGTAGTATGTGAAATCAATTAAATAGCCTTTGAAACCCCCTAAATTTTCATACTTTTGGGAGGGGATTTCTCCCCCCCCCTTCCACATTAGAGAGAAAAAAAAATGTATTTTCTACATAAGAGTGGACTCTAAAATTGATTAAATAATCCTTTGAAACCCTTAAATTGTTATACTTTTTTGAAACCCTTAAATTGTCATACTTGTGCACCACTTTTCAAAAGTTTTTGTGGGACGTCCAACCACACCCACTGTGATCTCGTCAAGGCAGTCAGCCCCCCCCCCCTTCTCCAGGATCTTGGTCTCGGGGAAATTTTTGTGCCGCCTCTGATCAAGGGAACCATGATAATGATTATTATTTAACAATCTCGTACGTTTTTTTTTTTGTTTTTTTTATTTTAGGCTGAGGCTGCCAAAGACGATGCTGAAAAAGAATTAAACTCAATCTCAGAAGTAGCAAAAAAGGAGGTACATGTTTTTTTTTTCTTTCTGTCGCTGTTCTTGAGTTAAATTCTGTCTAGGCTATCACATTTTGTTTGACAAAAACATATGACATATTGCCTAATGACATCACACCTTGACCATATATGTGGAAAAGACAAGCCAAACCAGTCACTCGTCACAAAAATCGATTTTCAGTTTGTCATACAGGTTTAAACAGTAAATTGAGAGCTATAAATTGGTAAAAGAATCATCTAAATCTGACATTTCGTTATGCGGTTACAGGAGTTTAAGCATACAGCTGCTTAAAGAACAATATTTGAGAAATCAGCCTCCAAAGTTTATGATTTCAGGCATTTCTCAGGCAGAAACCATCACCAAATCGTTAAAAATTGTTGTTTTAACATCAAAAATGGGGAAAATAACAACATAGCATAAATATACATATATAAAAGGTTCTATATAGTAGTACTTGAGAAGTCTGCGGTTGGTTGTTCCAGTCATGTTGAGAAGTTTGTCAATGCTCACTGCCCCCACCCCCATCTTCGACTCACCTCTCTCTCTCTTTCTTCTCTCTGTATCCTGAAGGAGTTGCAGAGTACTTCCTTTAAAGTCAAAGATGTTCCTTTTTGTGGGAACTAATTGAATTGTTATAATTTTTTTGCAGATAGCCAAGTTCCATCACCAACGCACCTTAGATTTTCAAAAGTCGCTGATTTTATATGCTGAAGCGAAGGTAAAGGCAGCACGTGATGTGTACGCCCTTCTTGCCAAAGACTTGTCCACTATTAAACAGATGGACGTAGACTTTGACTAGCACTTTTATTAGCTGATTGACACATTTATGTTAATTAATTAGTTAATTTATTAATTTACATGATTAATGTCATCACATAATGTTAATTGATTTGTTAATTTATTAATTTACATAATTATAGTTTTATAGATATATTAATCTGAAAAATATCAGTATATATAGGTTGATAAAATAAACCAAACCATTGAACTTTCACCGCAAAATGAGTCTTCTTAACGCCATACACCAAAGATCATCACCATTATTTACTATATACAATTAAAACTATGTTGATACCATAAAAATAAGCGGTTAAATGGCTAAGAAAAGAAATCAAACTTACGATTTCTTAACAATGTGTATGTAGGCTTAGACTGGATTTTTAGGTGTAAAACTCACCAAGGCTACACTACAGAAATCCCAGTGCTTATTCACATTGGGGTCCTTTATAGTGCTATATAAGGCAGCACACTAGAAGACGATCCCCAGATCTTTTCCGAAGAGTATACTTTATTGTTTTACATGCATGTTGGCTGTATTGCACAAAAGACCAGCAGCAGAACGTCTCAACCAAATGACAGGGTGAAATTGTAACTTGCATTTCTGCTCTCTAGCTGAAGCGCAACGAACACAACAGTGGAATCGAACGAGGGAGTAAAGGTCTCAAAAAGGTTGCCACAATCCAGAGCACGCTCAGATGCTACCACCAGTTTTAGCTAAACCATACATTTGTATATTGAGGTCATAAAACTTGGAATTAATGTTGTCTATCTCTTGCATTGTTTATTATTATTGAGATTTGAGGAGCGAGCTTGGTGTAGCTACCATGACGTCACAAGCAAATTTTATGAGATGGTCAGGCTTTTTGACTGGCCATGAACAAGAAGCTACTTGTTTATTTATGTCATCATCAGGAATGAGTAATGATCATTCCTGATAATGACATAATTAATGTTGAAATATTGAATCCCGACACGATGGCGTGCATTTTGATACTACTTGTTTCCAATCCTAGAAAATAATTTGACAAATAGGCTGGTTATTTAGCTGTACGTATTTATGTTGTTTTTTTTCACGAAATTACATTATCTGTCCATTTTCCTTTAAAGTCATGCTCTGCAGGAAAAAAGAATGTTTTTTTTTTTTACGAAATTACATTATCTGTCCATTGTCCTTTAAAATCATGCTGTGCAGGAAAAAAGAATGTTGATTAGTTGTATAACTGAGTGTTTTAAGACACAAAAAGTATATTTTTGACGAAAACCTTAGGAGCGGTTAAATTTTAACTATTTAAAAACTTAGGGAAAAGGGGGGAAAAAAGGTGGTTACTTCCCTTTACCCAGTTTTTGAATATTAAAAAATCGGTATCTCTTTAACCACCTCCAAATTTTTTTCATAAAATAAAAGCAAAAGTCTATCATTATTCATGGTATAGATGCTACAATTTCGCAGAAAATTCATGTTTCCAGCTAATCTCTCTGTTACCGCAATTTAACCTTAAGTGTAATCATTTGTAGTGGAGGTCGCATATGTAATTGTAGGCTAACACCAAATATTTATATAACATATAGTAAAATATAACATTGCAACACACTGCAAAGCAGCCATTTATGTAACTGTGAGCTTGATTTTGTGTATGTTGTATATATTTATATATTGTATAAATTATATTGATTTCTGATGAAATATTTAGTCTTTCATTGTGACTGTATGCAGTTCCTTTATATTCTGTCCAGTCTATTTCACCAATGAAACAAAAGTTAATGTGTCCAGTTTTATACCATGTATGCCCCATACCATGGTTTATGTCATCAATGGTATCAGTTGATGGTTAAATGATACCATTTAACCATCAACTGATACCATTGATGACATAAATGGTATCAATGGTATCAGTTGATGGTTAAATGCCCAACCATCCAATGGTTCCATTGGTCAACCACTGAATGGTTCTACCATCTAATGGTGCCTCATGGTGTTAATACTTGTATTATTAAATGTTTACCATTTTATGGTTGTATTCTTTTGTGGGGGCCACATGATAGTTCCTAAGGTACATATAGTTTTAGTTGCCAGAGGTTGTAATTTACATACAGCTAATGGCTCCAGTGGTATTGCTTGGTCAACCACGGAATGGTTCTGGTGTCCATATATAATGGTACGTGTTTTTACCTAGCTGTATCATCAAATGGTTACCATTACATGGTTTTATTCTTCAGTGGGACCACATGGTACATCCCAAGCCATGGTTTTAGAGACTCGTGGTTCTGATGTCCATCCATCTAATGGTTCAAGTGGTAGTACAGTCTTGTTCAATCACTGAATGGTGGTCTAATGGTACCACACAATGATACCAGTATCAAATGGTTACCATTTATGGTTCTATTTTTCAGTTTGGTACCATGTAATAGGTTCAAAGGTATGGTTCCATGGGTGTCCAGTGGTATAATTTGTTGGTTCCAGTGTGTTCACTTCATGAATAATGTCAATTGAAAAGTAAGCACTCCACCATATCTGGTGGTGGCCATGATCGGTAGCAAATGCTTGAAAGTAATAATTTAATATCATAATTACCACTGATGAAGTTGCTTCAATGGCAATATATGATTTAAGTGGAATTCCACTTGCAAGTGAAAGTCGGAAATTTTTTTTTAGAAAGATTTTTTACGATTAAATATATAAGATATTCCATGTGGAGCTATAAACAACTGAATTCTATATTTGAATTGCTTAATTTATTAATTTAAGTATTAGTAAATAAGTTTCAAATGCAAATTAAAACCAATTAACAGTGTAAACATTTTAAAATTTTATGTACAGCCTAAAATGGGCTGGGCTTGAAATAAATTTGTAAAGAAGTTTGTAGTAAAATTAGCAAATTAGCAGTGGCGTAGGGAATATGTTTGGGCAGGGGACAGAGTTAGTGAGGGGAGTGGTAGGTTTTGTGTGGATGCATGCTCTCCTAAAAAAAGTTTGCACACCCACAACCACCCCCCGCTCCCCCCCTTCCCGGTAGTTAAAAATTGCCTCATACCACCACCGCCTCCTCATTTTACCTTGGCACCCCACCTGTCCCTCATTCAATACCCCTTAATATGCCAACCTGTACTTTAGTCAATCATTTATATAATAATCCCTTATGAGTTGTTTGTCCTTTGTTTTTTTTTTACAATTTAGTCAATTTTCAATTGAGCCAAATACAGTAACATACATAAATTTATAGGTAATGAGCCAATAGTTAATGGTGCTATTTTTAAATAAATGGATTATATTTACTATAAGTAATAAAGAACAACATATTTTTGCCCCAAAATGTTGAAATACATTTATAAGAATCAAATTTGTTTTTCTTTTGTTTGGGTCATATTCAGTGTTCACATCATTCCACAATAATGCGATTATGATGTTAATGAGAATCAGTTTCTTTGTTTTAGTAAAATAAGCATTATAATTTTGCCATTGAATAATGAAAATTACATTTGCCATTTGTTTGTATTAAAAGCAAATCCTTGCCAAGCTAAGTTGCTCATGTGGGCTGCAATTATCCCCAGTATAGTGAAGTGGATGCATAGTTACCAACCATCTCGCATCGTGCAGGACGGTCCCGCATTTCAAAGTGATTTTGGATGAAACACGCATTTTGCAGAAACACATTCATGATCCTAAATTTGTCACGCATTTAGCACAAGTCATTGCGTGATAACGAATTATCACAAATTTAGGGGAAAATGTATTTAAAATTAGAAAAAATTGCTTGCATTAAAAATATAAAAAACTGTCATGCAGTAACTTGAGTCATTAGAGAGTACAACATTTACTTGAATACTTATTTCACTGACACGAATAATAAAAATTGATTAGTAAAGAAATATTTGTGTCTTCATAGTTCGGGTGCTCAAATTAAACGTACCTTGAAACTCAAATTTTACGTGGCATTATTAAAAATATTTTTGCTTATGTACCTGTATTGTCAATGAACACTCCCTGAAATCGTTTTAAAAGGGCTTAAAATATTCAGATCGTCGGAGCTCCACCCCTAACCAACTGGTGTAGTCACTCACGCATTTGAAAACTATGTGGATGAAAGTGTGAGGCAACCCTCTGAATGGGATGCTGGTCCACTGCACGTCATTCCCAGAATTTTGCTGGTGCCCATTGATACAGCTAGGTAGACAGAAGCAATGTAGATAAATGCATATTTTGAATGAAATGTAGTAAAAATATAGAAATGAAACCTTCAAATTATAAGGTACTTTACAATCTTAAAAAAAGATGACTTGGGTATAGAGTGTAACAGACCCAAATCATCAGCTTTCTATTTTACCCAACCTTTATTATGACGGACCCTCAATTATTTATTGTTTGGAGTCCGTGGCGACTAGTTTGCAACCACTCTTACAGAAGGGTAGTAAATGATTTTTGGCGTCCTTATTTGTATTATTACAGTATATATATTAATTATTATTAATATTTTTATTAATAGTATTATTTATGATGATGATAAACCAATTTCACAGTGTATGTTTTGTTATAATTGGGATGTTTTTGCCCGTTTCACTTCTTTTTTTCTATTACATTTTGATTGTGTAGTTCCAAAACATTCAAAATTAAAGTGCACTTAAAAACAAATGGCCAATTTTAGCCAACATGACTTCAGCCAACATGACTTCGACACATTTTTGTTCACCATTGTCCCAACTACAGATCTTATGTACGTTGTAGGATTTGTGTATCAATTTTAATGGGCATATACACACTCAGATATTTGTCTGTCAGATATCAATATTTGATTAGATTATGGTAGTGTCTGCTTGTTAACAAAAACATTTGACATGCCTAAATATGGTCATGACATCACGTCATTACCATATATAGGAACATGACTACTATAGTAATACAACAGTTTTTTGTCAAAGAAAATATCTCTCCTTTTTGTTGAAATGCTCTAATTAAGCTGAAGTCTGAACAAACACTTTTGGATCTGACAGACAAATCTTGCATTTATAATTAATATCAAACATGCTTAATTTTCTTCAGAGAAAAAAAAGCACTGAATTAAAAGTGATCATGCAAAGATGTATTAGATTGTGAACAAGAGAGATGTTTTTCAAAGTCCTGCGTTGTACAATGTTTTATTAAACATGGACCAAATCAATATGAGTCATTTCAAACCATTTATTGGCTTACTTTTACTCTTTATGTAAATGTAAAACAAAATGTGTTATCTTTTGATATGCAAAATGTGGTGGGGCAAGGTCATTTGAAAGTTCGAAATTTCTTGTACAATGTTATTTTGCAAAATGATATTTTAATTTTTTTTTTAAATTGTACTTGATTTTGCCGACATGTCCGAAGGACCCCTTGTTGGCAAAATCAAGTATTGTGTAGGCCTAATTTTGACCATACTGCTGTATGCAAACAATGTAAACAGTATGTTTTGGAAAGTGATATTTCAATTTTTCATTTAGAAGGATACAATTGATGAAAGATTTGTACTTGAATTTTGTTGTTTTATTCGATGGCCCCAGAAATATCCTGACTGGTGGCCACTAAGCTGGGCCTTCATGAGAATCACAAAGTAAAACACTTCGTGGTTGTCAAGTAGAGAAATTTAATGGCTTTAGGATGGTAATAAAAGCAGTGACCTTAATAGATCATCATAATAACTGCAAATGAGAATAAAGTTCATTTAGGATGGGAAAATAAATATGTTTTTGATCAACGATGTCAAGTTGCATTGAATGACACAAGTCTGACCTCGCTGGTGTAACCTCCGATCTTTCGTAATAATTTTAATCAACTCTTGTTGCTGTAATTTGATTTTCACTTTGGACAAATTCAACTTACAGTGGTGATATCTTACTGATAGCACATAATGTCCAAAAGTGCAATATTGTACTCAATACAATTTTTAGAATACAGTACAACAATTATATTATTTCATCTAAATATATCATTATCATATTTTTCAATTAAGTTTTGGTAAATTTAATATTATTGGACAAATGTGTTTTTCTATTTTGAATATATATATACAATAATTTTTATTGTTATTATTATCGATATTGTCAGTAAAAATTGAATCATCATCATATAATTATCTTTTATTTTTAAATAATTCATATTTAAATTAATGCGAGTATACAGTGTATTAATATTAAAAATATATATTTCCCATAATCTAGGAAAGGTAAATCATTACCTTAAATTATCTGACATTTTTTTTAAGGGACCACCTACGAATGATTAACTCACCAAAGCTTCAAACATGTATCTACTATTGACACATGAATGTTATTTTTTTCAAATTATGTATTGATGACTGAGATTGTTTAATCATGTTAGATTGTGTTACTGTACATCTATATTTTCAATATCATTTTAGTTAAATCAACATTTACGCAATTAAAGAGTATTGTACAAGCTACAGTGTCAGTGTTTTGTTTTAGCGTGTACACATGGCGGCCTTAAGGGCCAATTATTTTCAGACGTAACATAACTCATAAAATCCTCTTACCATTTAAAATTATATATATAAAAAATAATACATCGTGTAGCATAGCTGTAAATAAATGAATAAAGACATTGTGTAATAAAATGCCTCTGGTGGGACTCGAACCTGCGTACACATCTAGATGTGTATAAGAGACAGACGTTGTTTCGTCCTTTAAGGACTCATCAGTGCAGCTCAGATAAATTTGAGATTGAACCTTAGCTATGAAACAAGCAAGCTTGTAACAAGGCAGTTTAAAAGCGCTCGTAATACCATGCTAAGAGTGCTCAAACTACATATAGTAGTGGGCCAGCTAAATGCAATAATATATATATATATTATATACATATATAGCATTACAGCAAAATGATTTAGAGTTTATCTTTCAATCATGTGTAACATTTCTTATGTATTCCGTTTGAGATCTCGTCTCATTTGCATAGAATACCAGTTAAGGAAAATTTTTCACTTGCAGATTGTATCACTTTATATACACAACGAAATGTAACGTTTTAGAGAATTCTATAGGAACCCTTTTTTGTTTTTTCAATAGTAATTGTGGGCTTTGTGATATTTATAACACTACGATTTACATTTAAAGTTGTAAGTTGATGAACTCATACTAAAGCAAAGATATGAACACCACGAATGGCCGAGCAGTTAAGGCAAAGGTGCTGCAACCTACCTACGTTGTTGTAGGTTCAACATTAACCATTAAGACCCCACTGAAATAATATAATATTTTTAGCACTTTAAATGTATATTGTGATGTTTCTATCAAATATATTTTTGCTGTTCTTCAATTGAAAAAGTTTTAAACAGTTTATAGTAACGTTGTGCTTTGTGCCCATTTTATTGTTTTAAATATTTCTTGGTTGGAGCACCCAACCCACTGTCTGCAAAAACAGGGAAAAATCAATGGAGATTTTCATCCTCTTGAACAACTAAAGCTTTCAGGAATCGAATCATTTTTAATATAAATTTAACGAAGTGTCACCGTCTTTATTTCTACGCCATTTTTTACTCCTCACACTTTACGCGTCAAAGAATTCTTATATTTTTTTCTATACCTTTCTAGTTTCCTTCCTGTTTCTATTCTTTTTCAAATCGCTCACATATTTGTGCTTTCTTTTGTTTCCTAGATTTGTAAAATGAAATCATCAGGTCAAGCATGCTTAAACACTTCTCTAAAGTACAATCTCCAGCCATTCCTTTTCTCAATAGTTAGAAGTCATATGGAACGCCATTGGTGCCAAAATAGATTATCTATTAATATTTTTCACTGATTAAGACAAAGTTTAGGGACTGGAATCCAATATACATGCATTGGTTCTATACAACTTTGTTATGCTTGGTTTCCATACAATTGCTACATGCTATTGCCGACAGCTATCGGTGATGCTGATTGGACGGTCGAATTGGGGTGCCTTCCCAACTGGATCGGGGACTGGTATGCGGACGTACGATTACACTGAAAACAATGTAGCGACAGTGTAATTATTTTAAGGAAACCAGCCCTTTATTTCATTTCTACACTGACAAATGTGTAAAATCACAGACGTCCAATATCTTCCTCTTCAGAACGGCATGTTGCATCGAGGCCTACCACATACTGATCACTCACAAACATGATTTCATTTATAAGGCTCTGCTTTCATGCTGCTTTTGTTCTACTGTAGGTTATTACTTCATGGCCATGGTCCACCATTGTCTATATCTTTTGCCTTCATAGTACTTTTTTTTTATCTCATGCTTAATTGCAAACCAACGTTTTCTCAATTTAATTGTGAATAAAACATCAGTCAACAATTATTACACCTTCATAGTGTTGATAAAGCTAGTTCTTCATCATCATCCAGAATAAAATGTTCAAAGTTTTGAGTTTTACTGTTAACTGGCTGCCTATTGGAGGGCACAAAAGATTTCAGTTTTTGTTGGCGATGAGGCGGCCACACAATCCTCGATGCTTTTGCATGTAGAAGCCCAAGAGATACCTACAAATAAGCACATAAAGTTTTTCTTTACAAACCAATAAACCATACTTTTTAATACATAAAATGCAATGTAAAATGAAATACATATTGTGCCAATTTTTGTACACTGTTTATACAGTGGAAATATTGATTGGGTTTTACAATATTACAGGTTCTCTATGGGCTATTCAACAAAATAAATGATAAAAAACAAAAATAGAAACAGTGGCCAAGGGTTCTTCCGGCCTTACTATCCTGGAGACATGTAGGTCTCTGGTAGAGTACATAACAAAGCCCTGTCGGCACTGGTGTTTTGACAACAGATATGTGAGCCAAATTATTTTATTCCAATTCTTGAAATTACTACGCTGTACGTTATAAACTGCAACATGATATGGGAATCAGAGTAGGAGTGGATCCAGGATTTTTTAAACAAGGTTTTTATTAGAAAAGTGAGGGGTGTTAGGCTGGGAATGTGACATTAGAAAGAGGGAGCCACACCCTCTTTGAAAAATATGCTTAAAAGATGCCCACAAATATTTGTTACTATTCACAATATATATTTTTTGCTTAAAAATAAAAAATACAGTGGTAAAACTACGGGCCGTATCTCTTACTAAATCTGCTCTCTGCAGAGGTCAAATAATTATTAACAATTAGCTCATATCAGAATTTCACTATGACCCACAATAGTGTTTGTTTAATAGTAACAATCTATAGTCTACAGTGTAAATACTCACTGGACCAAATATGTTGCTGTCCAAGCTAACTTCAGAATGGTCTCCTTCAATCCAAATATGACCTGTGGGTACTTTCACATACCTGTTCTTGTACTTCAGTGTTCTATTTATAAATCAAAATTCAACGCAATTATTTTTAATGAATACGTATAATACAGCTGTAGGTCCTAAGACTATGATTACTTGCTTAATAGCAAACCTGATTTTTGAAGGATCATCGAACAATGGTGTCTTGAGAAAATGAAAATAGAAATTTATTTATCATAAATAAATTGATATTTCAGGAGTGCCAAGTCTCATACTAGTGTCAGGGGTCAAACTTAAAATTCTCACAATCTTCCTCACTCCCACTAGTATGCAATGGGTATTCTCACAATACAAAGACAAACACACTTAGATGACTTAAGAAAGCTCATTATGACCAATCACCGGAATGTGGTTTCTCCCAATTTTGGTGACCCCTGACATTTCAGTAAATGAATGATGAAAGTGAAATTTTAGCTTCTTGAATACATATGTTGCCTTATACGCAGACTTAGTAAAAAGAATCATTGAAGTAAATAAGTGATTCAGTGTCATTAATGATTTATATATAAATAATGTTACATTAATTGTGCCTTGTTTCCCATGTAAAAAGGTGCAGTTTAAATTCCTGTATTATTATTAATTATTATATACTGTAAATATTGTAAACCTTATTGTATCTCCCTCAACTGCTATCACTCTCTTAATGATTATTTCATCTGGTTCCCGAGGTGATCTGCAAAAACAATCAAGAATACAATGCAAGTACATTATAACAATTCCCAAAACTATTAACAATAATGAATAAAACAAAAAAATGTTGGTCTAAATTTTTAAAAATAGAAAAAATATCTATATTTTGTATTATATTCAGTCAGTAGGGCAACAAAACAGTAATTGGAGGGTCATGGGTTAAAATCATGAGGAGGACAAATACATTTTTCTCAAAAAATCTTCATCCTGTAATAATATCTGTATACATCACTGATCGGATTTTAATATAAGAATAAACATTACTCCAAGTTCTTAGAGAGAGGCCATTATTTGACGTTTCAACCGTTATTGGGTCAACTTCAGGAATGAGAAACAGTAGACAGCAATTTGTAATCACTGTCTACTGTTTTCTCATCTTAAAAAATGAGAAAACAGTAAACAGTGATTACAATTGCGTATTGTAGCATTCCTTTAATATACAAGTGATATAAAATTTGTAGTGATAGAGATATGGTGATTACCCACTGTAAATTTGATTTGCAAAATTGCCTATTAGAAAACTTACATCATTGACACTACATCGCCACGCTGAATGACAAAATCCTTGACTGCCCATCGATTCAGGAAGACGATATCTGGACAAGACTTCTCAAGAGTGTCAGGGTTCAATGCTGGCTATGGAGACAGGAAAAACAGTTTATATATTAACTTATATTGATGTCAGTTTTAATGGACACCATCAAGGCTTTTTTGTGCTGCATTAAATACTATAGCACTTGAGATTCAGATTAATTTTATACATCATACAGAATAAAAGCAAGAGGACATTATTTTCTTAGTTACAAGGTTAAAAATATACATATAAAAAAAAAGAAATAATGTTTAAAGGTGCTTGATTACTGATATTTACCATAATTACTTAAAGTCATATAACGCATCTTGTCAAGGCATACTCTACACATTTATTTTCGCTTAAACCCTAACATTTTGCTTGAACTCTAAGGAATGTTAATATAAGTTTTTGGAAGACTCCTGAGATCAGCGGAGCAGTTTATAACAATTATGCCATAGTTGCATCTATAAATCCGTTAAAAATACAGTAGTGGGATGCACATTAACAGAAACCGTAAATAAAGCTAATCGAACTATGCAAAAGGTGCCTATAGTAAAAAATTAATGTGGTGA